GGATTGTGTCTACAGCGAACGAACTTTTAGACAAGGTGTTGGAATATTTGGCACCCATGAGACCTACCTGAGATGAACCCATCGCAGTATATATGTTTTTTCCTCAAGCCCGATATTGCAGTGCTTTTCAGCTCAAGAGAAAAGTGCCCAGAAGAGTTTTGCCGTTGAATTCGGAGCCCAAATCTTCAGATGAGCCTGCCCTAGTGAAGTTTTGCCCCACTTGTCTTGTAAGGCACCTTCTCTCACACACAGGCTTTGGTTCCACGGCTTCCAACGTCAGTTTATGCTCGGATTCAGTTTGCGCAGCCGTTTCATGTAGGGGGAATCATGATGGAGTCTCCAGCCTGCTGAGGCTTCAGCGCAGAGTTTACTCAGCGCAACAAAAACCAAAAGAAAGTCCCTGTTAGCAGTGTTTATGTACGCGTAGGGTTTAAAGCAGTGCAGTTTGTGCAGATTTCCATTGTCATCCTCATTAGACGGAACCCCAAAGTGACCATATTTCTTGGAGATCACCATATGCACCCTACGCATTGTATCTTATCTGCAGCGAAACGTTTGTCCAAGTTTTGGTTGTGCTCAAAGATTGTGCACGTCATGGCTGCATTCTCTGGCTCAAAACTTTGCCAAGGGCTTGAGTCTCAGCGTGTCTTTGTTGGGTCAGCGTTCTCAGATAACTTGATATTTGGTGACGCCCGATCGTGTGATTAGTTGACGTTCAAGTATGTCGTGAGATCCATTTTGAAGGTTCACTTTCCGCAATGCAGCCGCAGGAACAAAAACTAGGAACAAACAACATGTGCTGGTAGACGCGGACTTCAGGGACACTGTAGCGTGGGTTCCGCTTTACTTTACAAACGTCCATCGTGATGGGCAAGTACGTTCTGGACTCAGAGTTTCCAGCAATTTCTTGCCAGCAAAACGTGGGTACCAGCAAACAAGTGTAGTTACTTTGGAGTACAAAATTCGGGGCAATGTGAATTCAGCAGGGTCGTTTTTTTTAGCAACGTTTTCAGTCATCCTGGTGCAGTGGGGTCTGGGTTTTGCTTTGGGAGTTTACCGGAAATCAACCAGGCTTCAGGCTTCCAAGGTTCGAAAGGTCCCTGGGCCCATGGGGTCAAGGTTCAGGGCCCCCGGTTGCAAGTTCAGGTTGCAAGTTTTCTCGGGAAGAGTTTTAGTCAGTTTTATGTTTCAGGTTTAGAAGATTGACCACTAAATTTCAATGTGGCCTGAACACAGTGGCTGCGAAGAGTTTGACGGCGAAGGTTCCCGTAACATTGCGCGCGGCAAGTGCTGGGAGCTACCTCAAGCTTCAAAACCGAAAACACTTTGGTGCGCTGAAGTGTTAGCCGGTGGTTTGTTCGATTACCAAACCCAAGATGCCATTGACATTTCATGATGCCGTCACTCCCTGGTCAGTGCGTTTCAACCCTGCCGCGTGTTGATGCCCGTATCCGGTTGGAAATGCTAGACAGTGCCTCCAAGTCTTTTGCTTCCATGTTTGCGGTTGATTAGGGGTATTCATGCCCTTGAATATGGCTTAAGTTGCATATCTTTCATCATCCCTCACCCTTAAACCTTAAGCCTCTGGACCCCAAACTTCCCTAACCGAAGCCTGCCCGCAATCTTAAGCCTGTACCGCTAAGCCACTTCCTTCCGCCTTGCTCAGGTCAAGAAGACTAAGGTAGCCAAAACAAAATCCACCACGAACCGAGGGCCAGAGTCATGCATGTGTTGTGTGTTGCGCGATTGAGAGTTGAAGGTTTAAGGCCGATAGTGTAGAGGCCTTAGGGTTTATGTTCTCGGGGGTTCAGGGTTCAGGGTGTAAGAGGCTTAGAGGTCACCGTGGAGCGTCAGAACTTCATGTTTGGGACAGTCTACGGGCAATGCAGTGAGCAAATGATTGACACGACAACATTAGATATCCTGGAGTGCCGTACGCCTCGGGAAGTATGGTAGTTCAGTACAGCAGCAAAAGAGTGTCAAGCAGGAATATTCAAATATCAACAAATTCTAAATCACATCCTGAGCTTTACAGCGTTGATCCGTGGTAGGTGGCGGCTTAGGGTTCAGGATTTGGCTCATATTTCAGGGTATGAGTCCATTTTGTGTTTTTTTGGGAATATGACGATAGTTGCAGCCATCATATGGGCACGCCACCAAGTTCCAAAAAGACCTATTTGGGACTCCCTATAAAGGACAATGTCCTTGGTGCCCTTATCATCCCTAGGGTATTCGTGGCCCCCCATCTCAGGAAGCTCTCGATGGTGTGCCTTTGCAAAGATCTGGCCCTTCCGTAATCATAAACACCCCCAAACGCCCATAAGGAATATCCACCCGTGAGGTGGTGGCAGTTCATTGAGGATGTCAATCAATTATTCGGAGGGTGGTGGGGTCGATTGTTTTGTGGAACGGATTCACATGTTTCTTCGTGCTCTTGCACTGGAAAGCGCTAGAGTATCTGCACTACGCTCATCCATGAAAATATAAAATCTCAGTTAAAAGGTTTGTTGTCAACCTCGTTGCTGCTGAGGGTTTAGTCTAGAGGAAAGGTGTATTAACGTTACAAATTTACCGTCAAAAGGGCATCATGGGGGTTCTTGCAAGGGCTTCTCATTCTGGGAAAACCTTGATTCTGATGACGCCCTGAGGGTAGAGCGCAGTGAATAGACTCCTTGACCCTCTTTAAGGAATGAGCCACATAACAATATTCCTGGGGATAGTATCAGGCCACTGCACGATCCATTCCTTGGTTCTTGACCGAGCGATAGCGAAGCCTAAAGGCCCAAACCTTAAAACAGCAGCGAGTACATTTTCATGCTTTTCAGGCTTGGTTCCAGATCATGGTTCTTATTGCTTGTGTGGAGGAGTTGTGTGCATGTGCAGGTTCGCAGGCATTTCTAGCAGGATGGTTGCATGCTTGCCGATTGACGATTTTTCTACATGTTTTTTTCTTTGGCTGATTGAAGAAGTACACCAGGTCGGGTAAATGGGCATTCCTCAATGGCCAACCGCCAGGGCCGTAAAGGTCGAGCAGAAGCGCAAGAAGGCACAAACTATTGGGTTGCTGTTAATTAACTTAAGTGAAGTCACGATACTACGAGTACATAGCAAACAAGTTCCTGACCAGCAGCCAGGCTAGTCTGGGGTGACTCTTTTGGGATTGCTTTAATGCAGTGTCATCATCAAGCATGTACCGCTGGGTTCCTATTTTTATACAGGTCCGTGTACATTGAAACTTTCAAGACTTGATTTAGGCAGGCTTTGTACTTGCTACTTGGAATCTAGAATCAACCTGAGTGCATTTGAAGATGGTAGGGTTTCCGTTTGCTTCTGCTAAGTTGAGTTTTGCTGACATTCGCATATCCAACTTTTTGAGGCAGAAGCCTCAAATCCAGCCCCTGATCCCCAGTTTTGGCATCCGCTGAATGGCAAGAAGTTTCCTTGTGTACTTCAATATAGTTATTTTTCATGCAACCACTCACACGCATTGGGTGTCCGTTACATACCTATGATCATATCTTCCTTGCTATACGGATTCGCGCGAAGGAGGCGCTTAGGGTTTTGGAATCCTGCCTGTTACATTCCCTTCGTCTTCCCTGTATGTCTCAAAGTCTGTGCTGGGCCTCAATACGGGGTGGTGGTGGTCATCATATTGTAGTATATCCCAGAATGCTGTGCGCGTGTGTTTGCATGCTTTGGCGCTTTTCCTGGTTTAGGCTACCAGCTCGCTTTTCGCAGAGCTCCGGTATTGAGGACAAGGGTGTATGTAGACTCAAGCGTCTGGTACAGGGAACAGATTCCTGAAACGTAAACTTTAAACTGTACCTCCCTAGCATGAAAGGGGGGGTCAGCAGGCGCAACATAAAATGCAAAGTAGCTGCCCTCAACTGGGAAAGTACCCGCGCCTTTATGTTTGAGTTGCCAGTTTATACAGATCCCAATTTTTGCCAGCTTTGGAGTGGCAATCATGAGGCGAAATTTGGTATGGATCTCTGAAAGCCTGAACTCTGAACTCTAAACCTTAATTCCTAAGCCCCAAGCCCTACACCTGTACAGAGTTTTTCATGCACATGTGGGCAGCTCGTTGGCAACCAAATCCCTGCAGGGCAGTTTCCGCAGTTTCACAACTAATTGCCCTTGGAGGTTCATGGGTGGTTGTATATGTACGGGTCATAATTCCGTTTAAATTAGGCTGTTAAATTCATCTGTGAACTGTGAACCTTGGAGGAAGGTTTGAGGGAAACATAGCACTCCCTTTCCGAGCGTGCATAAAGCCATCTATAAGCTGGGGGCACCATGTGATGATCATCTGAAAACCGGCCAGCCTTGTTTCGAACGAGGTCACTGCTGGGGTTTGTTTCAAATTACAAATTCGGGCAAATGAGAGATTACTACTTCAGAATAGGCCCTAAACCCTAAAGGACAATTTCAGATGGGGGCCTTAATATTGGCTTCACATTACGTAATTATCCCCCCGCTCCGACTGAACTATCTCCATTTCGTGGGTGGCCCCGGGATAATGATGCCAAAAATGTATGTAGGGACATCTATATGGACCCAATAAAACTCTACCCTCAACCCTAAACCCTAAACCCTAAACCCTAAACCCTAAATCAGTGATTCTGGGTTTAGGCCCAGGCTCGAAGGACTTGTGGAGTGTGTGGCTTCAGCGATGAAAATCAAACTTGCCGCCTGATGAGGCCTTAGTGTGAGGGTTTAACAGCATATTCCTGCTGTGCACGTGCGAAGAATGCTGGTCTCATCGTTCAGGCATGCAGTTGAACGCCAAGGAAGTGCGCAGCTGCTAAACGTCACATTTTCGGCCATTCCTGGCTCAAGCTCCCAAATTCTTTATGAGGTAGATAAGCCCAGGATGGCATGTTTTCACATGTGCCCCCTTGCCCGCGTGGTGGGGGTCTGCTGTGGATAAGCTTTCTGTAACATTCGTTTGGCTGGTCACTAGCCGCCTCTTCAGGATTGGATACAGTGCCTGCTGACGGATGCCAGAAAAGGACATGCCTCGCAAGATCCGGAGTTCGCCGGCCAGGCGAAAGCGTAACCGCTGGCGAGCAACCAAGTTTGCTTTGAAAGGGGCCATCGCTGCACTTCTGTGTTTGAAAGTTCGGGGCGGTGCTGTTCCAGTGCTACACCATCGTACAGACGAGGCAGACTCTGATGTGTAGGTGGGGTGGGCCACAGGGATACTGCCTCACACGACTTTTGCACTGTGGTGAAGACGTTGGTGCAGACATCGGGTGTGTCTGTTGCGGAGTACTTGCGAGCTTGGGCTGGCAGCACTGAGTTTTGCACAAACCGACAGCGCAATCTTCTGCCAGTTCCAGCCCTGGAGTCTTGGCCAGAGAGCATCAGCACGGGGAATGTTCTTGCTTCAGACTGTTTTGAGTTTACGAACCTTTGCATAGGAAGCCTGAATTGCATGGAGACTGGGTTAAAACCTCTCCCGGCCCCAAGAACTCTGCGCCGACAAGCCACCTGTCAGCAACATAATGTGCAACTGCATGTGGCATCACGAGTCGTGGGCTTCTTGAGCAACCTTAACAAGACTTTTGGGCGGTCCTTGCCTTGGAAGGGGGCGTTCATTGAAGCAGAAAGGATTGGCGCATCCTGTTATGAAGACATTCGTGGAGATGATGTCGACCTGCCTGAAGCTGCCGCCACCTGCGATCCATGTAGTTTGATCAGCGAGTCTTTGCGTGGAAAAATCTCAGACCCCAGCATCGTGTTTCCGACTAAAGGAACTGTTGAGACGCCTGCTGGGCCTACTTCCTCAGCTCGCTCAGAGTACCTCAAGCTCACAGTGCGTGAGTTGTTGTGTGGGAAGCTGTGTTTGCGTTGCAACGTGGAAGGAATTGCTGGCGTTTTTGCTGCTGGAAAGTCAGGTGGGAGACAGCGAAAGATATGGAACGGCTCAGCTGTGTCAAATCTTGCTGCCAGGCCGCCAAGACCTCATCGCTTGGCAAATCCTGCCAGTTTTCTGGAGCTCGAAGTGCGATCAGAGAGACCGCTGCTGTTTTCCAAGCGGGACGCTTCCACTTTCTTTGACACGCTCAAGGTTCCAGATGCTCTGCAACCATGGTTTGGGCAGCCTCCTGTTCAAGTCAGTGAACTACTCATTGCTGGCTTGACAATGCAACAGATCAAACAGTTTTGCATTGAGTGCAGTGCTTTTGGATGATTCCACGTGGCTGTACCCAACGCATGTTGTTTGGCCGATGGGTTTTGCATGGTCTTCTGCAGTTGCCCAGGACACGACAGTGGCCACTGCTCTGCGTGCAGGGATTTTGGGAGAGAACATTCTATGCCCTGATCATGACCCCCCGGCTTGCCAAGAGGAGCTGTGCATAATTGCCACGGATGACACAGTGCTTTTTCATAGAAGTCGTGAAGTTGGTGCGGCCACGCTGGCTTCCCTTGACGCGGCTTTTGAACATAATGGCATCCCAACGAACAAGGCGAAGGACGTCACCTTAGCTTCAGAGGTTACAGCGTTGAGTTGTGACCTCTTCAATGACCCTGCAAGGGCTGAACCAGCTGCAACACGCTTGGGGAAAGCTTTGTGCCGCGCGCTGGACCTTTTGACGCATCCTTCCGCGAGCCCCCGTGGTGTCCATGCTCTGCTCGGAGTGTGGCAATGGTTTGGGCTACTGCAGAGGGGGTTTTTCAGCATCTATGACAGCGTCTATGATTTCGTGCGCTTGGAGCCAGAGTTTGGAGTAAAACCTTTGCCCAGCAATGTCATCAATGAATTCCTTACTACGTTGCTTCTGTCTCCATTGCTAGTGGCCAGTCTGGACAGATTTCCTTTGCCACTGCTTGTTGCTACAGACGCTTCCCCTGATTTTGGTTTTGGTGTGGCTGCCAAACGTTGCTCCCCAACAGAAGCTGCTGAAGTGTGCCGGCTAGCTGAAAGGCGTGGGGACTACGTGCGCCTCACTGCAAACTCAGAGGAAGTAGAGGTCCCACGTTTGGGAAAGCCGACGTTGCTGAAGTGTGCCCAGGCAGACTTTACCACTGTCATTTCAAGTAAGGCGAAGGGCAAGGCACATTCTGGAGTCCTGGAGACGCACGGATTCTTGTTGGGCTTGAAGTGGGTGGTTCGCAGTGCCAAGCATCACCATTGCAAGATCCCTTTTTTAGTTGATGCCAAGGCAGTGGTAGGTGCAGTTGCAAAAGGTCGCAGTTCAGCTCGGGCTTTCCGCACGTTGCTGCGTGCTATAGCTGCCTACACCCTGGCTGCAGACGTGCTCCTAAGACTGGTCTACATACCTAGTGAGTCCAACCCAGCTGATGCTCCATCCCGAGGCAAGAAGCGTTGGCCAGTCAACAGGCCTCCAAGAGTGTCTCACTTCAAGCCTCGGCGCTCTTGGGCGAAGAGCAAGAGCCGGCTGCTTGAACTCCGGAAACAGTATTGATAGTATTCTGCTTGTTTGTGAAGAACCTCGAGTTACAACTGGGCTTCAGTTGGCATTAAACTTGGAATTCGTTTGAGCTGCTGCCACTGACGTTCTACCCAAAGTTACCGGGCACAACGCAAGAATGTGGGCTTTGAGGGCCCAGGTTCCTTTGACCAGCTGCTGGAGAGGCTGCGGTGCTGTTGCTTTGAGTGAGGACTTCCACGATCGGCTCCATTCGTGACGAGTGCAAGCTCGGCGGTCCTGCCATGCCCAGCTATGGACCCATCGAGTTGGGATGTTAGACAGAGCTTGTTGCATGATTTCTTTCTTTCAAGCTGTCACGGTGACTTGCTTTCTACTTGTCGCCAGGGCGGGGTTGTGGGCTCTGAAGGAGCTTCTGAGGCTGTTGTTCACAGCTGCTTTGTTGCTCACAAACTCTACCCTGCAGTGGCAGCAGGCTTGTGAAAACAGGCGCGGGGCCACACGGGGGCAAGCTGACTTGAGTGCCAACACAGGAAT